GGCCACTTAATTATTAGTGAACTATCAAAACTGAACTATAAATATCCTTTAAAGTCTATGTTTTTATAAAAAATATAACATTATTTTATTTAATTAATATATGCATTAATAAACTGGTTTATAAATTAAACAAGTCACGTCATATAATTTACTGGAAAACTGTCAACACACCAAAAACTAAAACCATTTTCAAATGTTTAGTAACATTAATTATTCTCGTCGTAAATAAAATATACTGATAATTATTTTTAAAATAACCACATTCTTGGCTAATGTTTTAACCTTTTATCGAAGTTTATATGAGATATAAGACTGGCATTATTATACACGTGGTTTTACTAAGTTCTTATTAGTAAATGATTATGAAACACCTACAAATGAAGTGGTCATCGTCGGGAATTTCCGCTTCTCTGTAGTCTTTCTTACCCACTGACCTTCGAGGATAGCGGACTTCTTCTACTTCATCCCCTAAAGGTTAAGTTATACTGGAAATATTTACTGTTCAAATCCACGTAATATATTATAAAACAGTTAAGTTATACTGGAAATATTTATTGTTTAAATCCACGTAATATATTATAAAACAGTTAAGTTATACTGGAAATATTTACTGTTTAAATCCACGTAATATATTATAAAACAGTTAAGTTATACTGGAAATATTTACTGTTTAAATCCACGTAATATATTATAAAACAGTTAAGTTATACTGGAAATATTTACTGTTTAAATCCACGTAATATATTATAAAACAGTTAAGTTATACTGGAAATATTTACTGTTTAAATCCACGTAATATATTATAAAACAGTTAAGTTATACTGGAAATATTTACTGTTTAAATCCACGTAATATATTATAAAACAGTTAAGTTATACTGGAAATATTTACTGTTTAAATCCACGTAATATATTAGAAAACAGTTAAGTTATACTGGAAATATTTACTGTTTAAATCCACGTAATATATTATAAAACACTTAGAAAAAGGTAAAAATATGGGTTGGAGATGACCACTGAAAGCTATCACATGACCCCAGCTCAACGGACTTCCTACAAATTATACTGTTGATGGCTTTCATAATAAGTTAAGATCACTGGCTCTCTATATCCAGAGCTGTATTGCTTATCCCCAGCACATACAACACTATGTTTATTTGTACACAGCAGGTACGGGAACTAAACGTTTAGTCAAAATGGCTTTGTTTTTTTTAGTTTGACTTGATTTTCGCCCAAAGCTACACGAGGGCTATCTCCGTTAGCCGTCCCTAATTTAGCAGTAAAAGACTAGAGGGAAGGCAGCTAGTCATTACCACCCACCGCCAATTCTTGGGCTATTCTTTTACCAGTGAATAGTGGAGTTAACTGTCACTTTATAACGCCCCCACGGCTGAAAGGGCGAACATGTTTGGTGGGACGGAGATTCGAACCCGCGACCCTCAGATTACGAGGCAAGCGCCCTAACCACCAGAAATGGCTTTAAAGATACAAAATCAGTGATACAGGTTTTAATAAGTCATATTTTATGAGTTAAAAAGGTAAAGTATGTTAGCTATATGTGCTGAACTAACTGTAGGAATCGAGCTACGAATTTTAGTGTTTTATAGGCACTTTTTATGTTTTCAGATTATGAAACGCCTTATTGTCTATTAAAGAGAGGTGTTTGGTACCTTCAACCTGAATGACACGTGACATACGAGCTAAACGTCTAGTCCAGATACCCCAAGGTTCAGACATATGTGGAACGTTGACCGTAACTTAACTACCGTCTACTCTGAAGTGAATAACAGGATTGGATATTACTTTTATAACCTGCCCAAAGCTGAAAGTGTTGAATCTATCCAGCAACATATTTAGTAGGCGAACCTTCCGATACGCATCCCGAACCGTTTGAGTCGATTGTTTTTAAATGTCGCGCAAAGCTACACGAGGACTATCTCCGTTAGCCGTCCCTAATTTAGCAGTGTAAGACTAGAGGGTAGGCAGCTAGTCATCACCACCCACCGCCAACTCTTGGGCTACTCTTTTACCAACGAATAGTGGAATTGACCGTCACATTATAACGCCCCCACGACTGAAAGGGCGAGCATGTTTGGCGGGATGGGGATTCGAACCCGGGACCCTCAGATTACGTAAATCTAACCACCTGTTGAAGTCACACCCAGTGTTTATTAATAAAGCTCACAATAACGAAGCTGTGTACGAGTACATAGTTAAATTACGCACATATTTAACAGACCCACGACTAAACAAGAAAAAAGTTACTTAGAGCTTCAGGCTCATTTCTACAAATATATAACTTTTAAAGTTTAGTTTTTGACAATTAGGTTACATTTTACCCCCGTTTGATATCTTTATGATGTGTGATTGACTAATATTTAATATTATGGTTTGATTACTTATAATTCTAAAATATAATATTAATTTTACACAAAGTGATCGTTCGAAAGGATAGAAAATCACGAAGCCTATAATAAAATCAAATCTTAAGTGTTTACTTAAGGATAGAAAATCACGAAGCCTATAATAAAATCAAATCTTAAGTGTTTACTATATTTTGTTGTATACTCGTTGAGAGACAAAGAAACCATTTAATACCAGAGTCGGAGTCGTCTGTATCATAAATGTTATCTTCCAGTTTTTGAATGTTTCTTGCGATTTTTTTTAACGTCGTTCTTGCAATATCCAAGTCCTTTCTCAGTATTCCGTTTACATCCATCTTGTCTGACGAGGTGTCCGTCTGTACAGTAAATATGTTATAGAAGCATCAAATTGTATCAAACATATAAATAAGTGACATTAAACACACGGTGTAGTATTATTTTAAATCCTATACAGATAGAGAAACACATTTCTACTTACATCCGGGTATTTATTGGACAAAACTTACATAAAACAATAGACAAATATCGTTATTTCTACAGAGAAAGAGATTGAGAAGTTTACAAACATATTGGATTATAAATATGTAAAATATATTTTTATTTGGTCCATTCATATAGAGTCATCGCAAACCTGCTCTCGGAATAGCTTTACTTAAGCCTAGGAAACATTTGATTATATAAATAGTTACCTGTGTTGGTTCCACGTCTTGTTTCTTCTTGTTTGGATGTTTGAATGATACTGAATATCAAATAATGAAATAAAATAATCTGAGCAATCTTAGGTTAAACTTATATATTTTATATAATACAGAATTATAGAAGATCAACGTATACCGTCTATTTTTTAAATAATAAATAGATTTATAAAAAAGCTAAGCTACATAGGCTATCCGCCGTCGTCCCAAATTCTGAACTACCAATCAGAGGGAAAGCAGCATTACTCTACCACCCACGCTTAACAATTGACTGTCACTCTTATAACGCACTTAATGTTTAAAGAGTGGGGAATATTTTGTGGTATCAAACGGACTCGAACCGAACTCACTACCTTCGGAATCCAGAGTTCTACCACAAGAACAGCATGCGCCTAAATTAATAATAATAATAAAACAACAACACATAAACAGTTCAATAGACAGTTATCCACAAAACAAGACTGATATGTATAGAGGGAGCTGAAATGGGTATTCTACGACCCAACTGTTATGTGACACAAGGTCTAAACGACAGAGGCCTCAAAGTTCAGGTATAGCCAAAGCCTAAATGTGAGCTTCTGACAAGATGAAAGGTAGTTAGTCAGTAGCACTTGCCGCTTACATGGATACTTTTACCTGAATGGCGGTAATCACATATTTTTTATAACACGCCCACGGCTATGTATTCAATGGTAATACTGCTCTGACCTTAAACCCAGTAATCTGTAGACGCCATTTTAACATTTAGCTCATATCTATAAACAAACCCATATAATTCCACGTTATAAATTCATATTATCTATCCAATTACACGAGTCTCTTTACGGGGGGTGGGGGTGGGGGGGGATAAATATAAAACTCATGAATTTCTAAAAAACAATATAATATACTTATTTTATAACAGGCCTTACTAATTTTACATTCACTCAAAATATTTTTTGTTACTTTATGACATCGGCGATAATTTTAGAATTTATTAAAATATAATACAAAACTGGATCTAAACAATAAGCAAAGACTACTATAATTATGGCCCCCTAGTGACACGTCTACGGATACAACGCTAGAAACCGGGTTTCGATACCCGTGGTGGGCAGAGAACAGGTAGCCTATTGTGTATCTTTGTGTTTACCTTCAAACAAACTATATTTTTTCCAAGCTAGTTCGTACCCCAGTGGGTCAGTAGACTCATAACGTTAATTCCCCGCGGTACATAGTACGGATAGCCAATTGCTTTGCGCTAAAATAAACAAACGTTTCAACACTGTTACATTATTAATTGCAAGCAGGGACGGCTTGATGATAGCACTGAACATTGTTATGATCAGACCGTCCCTGTAAAATCAAATCACATTTTAATCTGTTACAAGACATATAAAATGAACTGTCTTATGTTGACAATTTAATACTAAAATCAGTTTTTATTACAGGCGTGAAGAAGGATTATTTAGTTAAAGAATTATCCACCTTTCCTTGTAATTCTTTCCTTCTGCGGTGTCCATTCTTCATCGCTTTCCGTGTCATTATCAATCACCTTTCTTTTACGAGGAAGCATGAAGTCGGGGGTCTTTGGAGCAAGACCTAATTCAAGTTGGGAAATACTGATAATGAAGTAGATATATAGATAGTGTGCATTGAAAAACGCCCCACCCTCTTATATGTGTTATACTTTGTATCAAAGTTTATATATATATAAGATGCTAATGCCCGTCTGTCCGCAAAATTCCTCCCACCTGATAACATGTTCATACTCACACGTGGTATGATACATGTAAGAACTGGATCACCTGATAACATGTTCATATCCACACGTGGTATGATACATGTAAGAACTGGTTCACCTGATAACATGTTCATACTCACACATGGTATGATACATGTAAGAACTGGATCACCTGATAACATGTCCATACCCACACGTGGTATGATACATGTAAGAACTGGATCACCTGATAACATGTTCATACTCACACATGGTATGATACATGTAAGAATTGGATCATCTGATAACATGTTCATACTCACACATGGTATGATACATGTAAGAACTGGATCACCTGATAACATGTTCATACTCACACGTGGTATGATACATGTAAGAACTGGATCACCTGATAACATGTTCATACTCACACATGGTATGATACATGTAAGAACTGGATCACCTGATAACATGTTCATACTCACAATGTTGTATACCAAGAAGTTTTTTAGTTAGTAGTAAAATGTTCAAAAGGTTTACTCATATTCCGTTGATTGAGATTGTCATACTAAAGTTATTGGACCTTCTGAAGGAGCTAGTACAAACAATCGCCCGCAGGGCGGCGTTTCTGCTAGTATTCAACACACAAATTACAAGAGGTAATAAAAACATACAAGATTTGAAACTTAACTATCATTTAAGAACAAATAAATTCAATACGAGAACGGCTATAAATAATGTTTGTTACTCATTCTGTACTTAATTATATGATAACAGTAAATCAATAGGTATTATTATGGTTTTTATGTTTGTCAGCTTCACCGTTGTGGGTTATAGATATGAACAACTAAGCATCAGAGATTTGTATATCCTGTTGTAGCTTCCGTTTCATTCAACACGTCTAAAACACAACAAATTAATAGCCTTCAATGACTCTTTTAAAAATTATTTATATAAGCTACAGCTATCTGGTTAACCCTGGCTATGCCTTTTCGTTTTTGTAAATATTTCAAGGTAAAATACTTTCGGTCATATATATATATATATATTTATTTAACTATCTTGATATCCTTTTACTAAATGAGAGCACAAGTATAGCTTAGAATGCGAAGTCTTGTAAGCTGGTGCAGAACAAAACCTTTAAACATTTTAAACTCGTAAAGTGGTTTCTGCTATATTTAATAGTGATAAGCTGAAAAGTATAACAGTTTCATCAAGTAAAAATATATATTTTTGAGTGAAAAGAAAGTGCGAGACCTCTGACTAACAACAACAGTACAAGCGATCTCCGTCATTGTTCACTTATATATCTTCCCACTATGAGTATGATAACCTTATGACACGTACAAAAACTAAATCACAGACAGTTACTTTATTAAGTTTCGTAAAGAAACCATAGTAATAATATTATATTGGAACAGTCAATAATAGATATTTATTGAAATGATAAACCTCATTAGTGAAAAGAAGATTCAGGGTTTAATAGACGATCTTTTAATTTACTAATGACAGAGAATATTATATTCTGTAAAGATAACATTTAAAAACTATATTAATCTATCAAACCATGCTCCTAAAATGTTAACATTTACAAATACGTTATCTGTACGTTCCTAGACGTGTTTCTCACAAAAACAAGTCACGTTCGAAACAGATCGTAAGTTGAAAAACTTGTAATTTTACGTGATTATTATCATTTAAATACAATCATTATTCGTAATAATACAATGAAATAAGTGCAGAATATTAAAAGCACTTATAAACTATTTTGAAATGTGTTTTTAGTCGCGGTGTAGCGGCTCATAGAATGGCTCTGTTTTTTCCTTTATTTTTCAAGTACCAACTTTTAGAGCTCCGTCATCTCTTGACCGATTTCGGATCAAATTACAGTTTTGAACTCAGGAGGTCAAACCCTTTCTATTGATGTATTTGATCATGCCCAAGGTCTCATAGATTAATTTACTCTAATCCTGCCTAAAATAATTTCAATTTGAGGGTAGGCTGGTAGAGATCCTGAGGAGTAATAAAATTGAATCGGCTATACGAGCTCCCCACGCTTGGTATTGCTGGCGCACAAAAAATATAGTCCATCCCCCTAACCAACACTGTATGAACTTCACAATAGAAAATAAATGATGAGATAAAATAACAACGAGCTATCTCTAAAAATAAAGCTCTGAATGGCAATTATCATATTTTATCAAGATCGCGGAATATTTCAAAAGAAAGAGTACTTGGCCTAACTTTAATCTAATTAACCTTGTTTAGAACATTGAATAAAACAACCACGGTGGAGGTGAATAGCCACGAGGTAAAGGGATCGCCAATGGTCAGAAAACAGGAAGCAAAATAGCACAAGTATAGTTGAGAGGTAGTCTCAACAAAGAGACGAGGAAAACTGATTATATAAAAATAAATAATATAATAGTAAAAAAAAGGACTAAGGAAAGTGGCCAAAAAACAACTAACTGCCATATTCTGAATCACATTTCACACTCTGAGAGTTGACTAACACTCACTCTAAACAATTTCCTGAAAGGTTATAACAATGAAAGAATTAGCATTTTTAAAACCTTGTATGCTATAATGTTTAATAGGTATTATTACATAGATATTCTATCAATGCGTGATTGTAGAGATTTGTAAAATCCATATATAGTTTACATATTTTACATCAACACTAAATATGCTTTATGTTCATACCTATATGAAAGTCTATAAGGTGATATATAACAAACATTTAGGAAAATCTGAATTAAAATTATGTTGTTTATAAGTACTTAGTCTTGGTTTTTCTACTGTCATCAACAAAGATAAACTAAAATACATTTAGAAACCCGATTTTATAATTTCAACTGACATTTAATTTCATTGTTTAATAACCTAGCTTTATCAGTATGCTCGTGTATGTACAATATATGCAAACAGGCAGACAGTAGCACTGGCTACGTAGGGATGGCCCGGATTGTTCATAGATATGGTATTTTAAATATCTCCTCAGTAGGTCATCAGAACTTTACAATACTATACAGTGTTTCCTTTTATAACAATATCTATATAATGACTGAGTCACAAGTTCTAGGAATGTCTGTAAATATTATAGAAAAAAGTTTTAATTTCTTGTTTTATTTCTGGTGCTTCCTTTTTATTACATGATAACTCAAAAACTAAAACAATGGTGTCAACCAATTACACTGAGGTGGCACAGTTTCAATCGGATTATCTGCTTTTATAAGTACTATCTTGTACACCTATAATACAGACGATGTGCTACTTTGGGCTTATAATTAAATTTGAGGGTAAGTTGGTAGAGATACCGATGAGTAATAAAATCGAATCGGAGATACGTGCACCCCATGCTTGGTATTGCTGACGCACAAGAATATAGCTAACAATTAAAGAACAAATACTTTTCAAAAAAGGAAGTAAGTAGAGATGGCCTTCGCATCATCCCTACCGGCAGGAATTAACATATATAACTTGTACATGCATATGTATATGTGACAAGGCTGTGACTCGTCTTATGCACCATATAATCATTACAAACAATTTTTTTCTTTCATGAAATTATTAAAATAGAACCTATTAGACAGTATCGCTTCACATTGGTACAAACGTGTAATTATAAATGCATATAAAACTATATGAAAATAAAAACTACTACTTTATTTATCCCTGTGATGATACTTGGTCGAAGTGGTGAACTCTGTAAGTGAAAACATTCAGACGCCATTATTACAATTGACAACCTGAAAAGATCGAGCTGGCTGCCATCTATGATATTTTATGTGAACTAAGCCTCAATGCATTTTCTACGGGCATTTTTTAGTTCATCTCTTTTATAAAGAAATGTATTACTTAAAGAGATTTATAATTTTAAGAATAAATCATAAACGTAACTGAAGTAAATAACTTTTTAGATTTGAGTCTACTTACGACTGGTTATATTTTATAACTTAAAATTGTGACATATTCGCATGTTTACATAGAAAAACATTTTAAATATATTACATTGTAAAACCAAAATCAATAAAGATTAACCACTCAGATACGATGGAGAGTAACTATATACAAAAGATTGAACTTAATGTTTATGCAATAACTGAATTTCATATTTGAAAGCAATTTTTTAAATTCATTTAATAAAAAACTGTTGCAAAAGTGGCCGAATTTCAACCTGAAAATAAATCTTTAATCTCTTGACCTTTCCAAGTTTTTATTTTAGAACATTTTATTTATCAGTCTCGAAAAACACACATGGGAAAATCCTTTTAATACCTGTATAAACTTGTATAAAACCCTTGTGTACTTCGTCAGACTAAACTATTGATTCATCAAATAGATTCTTCATTACTAAATAAAAGTTTAAATAAGATAAAAACCATTTAGCTAATTACGGATTTCGAGAATGGACTTTTAAAAAACAAGTTTTTTTATTTGGAATCCGTAACATATTGTTATACACTATATTCATAATGATGTAATTTAGATGTTAGCTAGACGGTGCTTTGTGTTAAGATCAAATATGACCAAGAATATAAATAGAAAACAAAAAAGTGTAAAAACTTATACCAAATGTCGATAATATTAACAGCTAAATTAGGTGTCTTACATTGTTACAGAGCAACAATGCCACGTTTTTAAAAGTTCGAAACATAGCTAGTGCTCTCTGTTTGTGTGAAAGGAAAAGATAAAAACTCGTGCATATTCATCTTTATGAGCTCGCGAATATTTATATGCGCACGCGCACACAAATATAGGCATAGTTATAGAAAATAAAATATTTCATTTATACCCTTCAGGTGAACGGTACCAAGCCGACAGGTGAGTTCATACGCATCTGTTTCTTTATTGGTTTTGATTATCTTAGAAACCTGTATATTTTGGGGAAGATATGCCAATATCAAAGGGACGTTTTTACGATCTTGAACTGTTCCTAGATGATACCATGTATTTATCAAAACAGTATAATCCCACGAAAACTACTTAGTTCTTAAAACTGGCCTATAAACAGAAAACAACAACAAAACATTGTAATATTTTTAAATCTCTAAATAGATATTTCAATACATTTTCACTTATAGATAAAAGTAAACTAGTATGGTCAAGCCATCGTTCTAAACGACACAAAATGTTTGGAGAAACATTTAAGGATTTATTAGTTAGTGTACGGTTGAAGACACCAGAAGAAATCAGCCATCTTCAGTGTGGTACAACTTCTGTATTAGGACCCAACTCCGCGTATACAATCACAGTTGTTCACCTGTACATCCAAGGACCTAATTTATTGCATCACTTGTTTATATTGTGGACAACTGTATGTAAAAGAAACAGGTCGGATGTTGTCTGAACGAACACGTGAGCACATCCGTAACATCTAGAATTATGATCCTGACAAATCTGTGGCTAAACATTTCAATGATAATGGCCATCCGTAATTCGTCGATAGACAACAAGATGAATATGGACTCATCTATCGGCTTCGTATGTTTCCAACTTTAGGAACGTGACATTGTTGCTCTGCAACAATGCAAAACATATAATTTACCTGTTAATATTATTTATATTTTTTCAAATACCTTAAAATATAATTCAAACTTATTTTTAGCTAACTCAAGTACCAGTG